AGGAAACTAGACAGATGCAACCTGTCAACAGATAGCTAACCAGCCTCAAACCAGCCTACTTCATAAAACAAGTACATTCCCCTCGATGTAAGGAAGACATCAAGGAACATCCTCCAAAAGACTTTTTGAAAACATGTGAAAGCAAAAGGCCCCTGTATACTATGAATGGAAAAAAGAGGATCATCCATGATGAACCCACACAACAGGAAATGGCCAAGTAAAGATTGACTAATGTGGGGGRAAAAGAGGCATGTCTGTCATAAGGCAGAGATTCCTAATAACTGTGCAAAATATTCACTGTTCTTTAAGGATTCTTGAGAAATCTCTGCATAAACAGAGAATTTTATAACAAAGGACATTAGATTTTTAGACTCCAAAGAGAGCAAATTCTTTTATACAACCTGGACTGGTCCACAATGGATTTCACTTAAACATATTAAACAGCTCTTTGAACTTGGCAAAGTCCTTTTCCAGCTGCTACCTCTCTTGCTCCCCCAATAATTCAAGAAGGTTCGAGAAAGTAACCCTACCAGTAACAACACATTGCGTCTAGTTCTTTATGGAATTAAGCCTGCTTTTTCATCTGTTTTCTTATTGAAATCTATCCAAAAGTTGGCAGGAAAATAGTTTAACATGGATTCAGTCTCCACTATATGATTAAGCATGAGGCTCCAGTGAGTGACTGAGCAGAAACATATATAACTGTGGTTCCTGCCCAAGGGTTGTAGCAGCAGTGGTAGGTAACGACACACAGCTACCATTCTTTGAATATGTGTCAGATGTCCTCCTGTGGGCTTTTTACCAAGGTTGTTCAGAACACATTTCTTGGTGTCTTATTTTCACAAAGTACACAGGCCAGCTGGTGGCCAAAGGGTTGGAAAATAGTTTTAACATGGATTATCTGTTGAGCGATCAATTTTGTCTTCTGTCTATAAGACAAAAACCTTATAGCTTGCCTTGATCTCACTCTGCCTCACCTCCAATCCCCCATGAGTTTTATCACCTAAGTTCAATTGATTTTACAAACTCAATATCTCTGCATGCAAGTCTCTTATTTCATTGAACCATCATGCAACCCTTTGAAGTCATGTTTTCCTTATTCAGTTTTATGGATGAGATTCTGAGGTTTAATAACCTGTCCAAGCCCAATGGCCAGTTAGTGGTAGGGCTTGGATCTCAATATAAACACATTCAGAGCTCAAATCTCTTCTCTATCTCTGGAGCCCAAGTTCTTGGTAATAATAGCTTACATTCATCAAGTATATAACCAGGTTCCAGGCACTGTGCTATGCTCTGCCTGCATGATCTTATTTAACCTTCCCAGCCTAGTAACTTTATGCTTAAGCTTTTGGTAGTATATCATGATCCCACTCTTACAGATGAGGAAAGAGATTCAGAGAAATCATGGGGCTTGCCCAAGTTTTCACTGCTCAAGCCCAAGAAATTTGATGCCAGACTAGTATTCAGTGTGCTCAATTGCTTCCCAAAATTGGGGTTCAAAAAGTTCAAAGAATCATCAAGGAGCCTAGATCAGGTAAGTGTAGGATCACAGCCAAGACCCAACTCCTCATGTGAGATCATATCTGAAGCCTGTGGTAGTATAGGCCTGGTCTATTATACGAACCAATTATACCTTATCTCGATGTCACCCCAATCCTGTGTGAGTCTCTTTTCATCTAGTGATTTCCCTTTAGCGATTCCTGGGAGCTGTGTCTTCACCTCCTCCATAGCTACTGTTGCCCGGGGCAAGGGAAGGAAGCCTCTACCTCCTCACTGCCCTATAAGTCTGCAGTCCCTACACTGATCTGCTGTCTACTATAGTTCAGACAGACTAATTATCCTGTGACTGGGCTGCTAATAATCAAGGGAACCCCCCACATCCACTTGGTACCATTATGACTTCCTACTTTTTGGAAGCAGACATTTGAAACAAATAGAAGTCATCATTCCAGACAAATCCTGCCCATCCCCCTCACTGATAAATTTTCCTCCATTGGCTGTAATGCATCCCTTCCAGATGTTTTAAATTAAGATTGGGAAAACTGTGTTTTTACTTGATTGAATCACAGCACTTGGCTGACATTTTTTGGCCCTTCATGCACTCCTTAGATTTGTCAGCTAATTGCACACACTTTGAGAGAATAATATAGCATATGTATGTTTTGACAGACTCTGTTAGTGTGTCTTAGTGGTCAAAGATTCACTGGTGTTTCTTTTACTGACCCCTGGTTAGATGTTAGAGTTGGTTCAAAAACATGGATCCAAATCCAGAAACTTATGTACATGGAAATTTTATATATGTGTCTTGGGAAATGGAGACAGGATAAATCCGATTGTTTAGTTCTTATTCTTGGACTGTTTTGAAATCTTTAAGTTGTGGGTGATAAAATAACTTATTAGGAAATGTCCAATGCCTGAGGAATTTTATTTAAAATGTCAAAAAACAGCTTCATGTTGTTCTAATGCCACTATTTACCAAGGTTTTGCCTCCGAGTTAATTCTTCAAATGTGGCCTGTTTGGACGCTCATGTCATGGAAACCACTGGGTGAGATGGCCCATGAGGCACTAAGAGCCCAATGGCAGAAAACTGGAGATGGGGGAGATCCTGACATCCAGGTGCAGCAGCTGTCATTTTGGATACAAGTCACTGTGCCCCAGGATCCAGGCAAGCCCCAGTCATGGGACATTGCTGAAGGCATGAGTCCAGAAAGGCAGATGGACCACAAAAAAGGGAGGATGGAAAAGCCAGCAGGGAAATTTGGGTGCCCTGCATGTGTCTTTGGGGTCCCTGATGCCAAATCAGACTGAAAATGAAGAGAAACTCAGAGCTCACTGTTGACCCCAGGTGCCCAGAGCCAGGTGTGTGAGGACCACAGACTCCAACAGAGATGCAAGAGGGATACAGGAGTTTGGAGCACTCGCTTCCTGCTGTGGTCAGGCAGGCTTAGGGGCCAGTGGAGGTACCAAGGTTGCACCTGCGTCTGGAGGGCAGGGGGCTGGTGAGCCAGAGGCCAGGAAGTTAGGCACAAGCTCAGGGAACAGCTCCCAACTATAGAATTAGTAAACAGATAGGGGAAGCAAAGTACTAACATGCCATGGAACTGTACAGAGTGAATTCTAGAAATGCCAAAAAAAGAAATGCTGCTTTGCATGACTTAGATATAGAGAGTTACCTAGAGGACATGGTTGTAAAGGAACCTGTTGGGATAACTTTTAATGTTTTATCATTTAAGCATCAGAGAAAGATTTTTCTTAAGCTTATTTCTTCATTTCCTTTCACAATGCTTCTCTATGAGGACGCCCAGATTTCCCTCTGGAATGGGTAAATATTAGCTCTTCTGAGAAATGGTTTTTATTCCACAGATTGAAACACTCATAAATGTCTGACTTTTTCACTCGCTACTACTAGAAAGCTTGGAATTAAGTCCACTCCTAGCGAGGAAATAAACTCCTCAGAGCATATGTTTTGTGTGCTTTTCTCACTCACTGTATCAACTTTCTCCTGTCTGCCCTTGAATCCATTCCCCCATTATAATTTATTGCATCTTTGTTTTATTGTGTCTTGTGGTGTATGTGTTGCTTAAGTTGGAACAAGAAACATATCTAACTAAATGTATCAATGCAAATAAATAGACATTCCCCACTGCAAAAAGATGGTTTCTTCTTTTACAGTTTAAATTTTATAATTACATCATTAGTTGCTTTAACAAATGTCTTTTCATGAATAGAAAAAAAAAAATGGTTTTCTTCAGCCCCCTGAACCATCTGCAATTTCAAAGTAGTAAGCCCCCAGAAATGATATCACATTTGGTTAGCAAATTAACTCAGTGTTCCATACTTGTTTAAAATATTTGGTTCAAATTTTAGGATCTGTATTCAACAAGAGGCAGGATTCATAACTAGTAGAGAGAAGTCSGACCGGGCAGATGCCCTGCTCTGGCCAGAAGTCTTCATTACTAATTCCCTGTGTGGTCGTTGGGTTCATCAGACTCCCAGTGAACCCTGCAAGGCTTATTTCCAGAGGAGAGTACATTTCCACTTAACTAAGGCTCAGGTCCCCTTGAAGAGAGGGGCACAGCTCTCTGCCACATCCTCTTTCCAGATTTTTCCTACAAAAGAAGAGTAATCTGTGCAGCACCTAGGGACAGTTGGTCATCCGCACCTTAGCCCTCCAGCCTTATCTATTATCACTCTTTTATTTCTACTTTTCAAGCTCTTTTTGTGGTAGCTGAAGGGGTCTGTGCATTTCTACTTTCTCACTTCCGCTCCTGCCATTCCCAACCTGGACCCTAACATGCCCTTGCCCACCTTTCTCCATCTCCTCTCCACCCTCAGTTCCCACCTTTTCCATGAAACCCTTAGAAATGTCCCTGCCCAAACTATCTTCCCCAGTAACTTCAGAGCTCCCACTATGTGTCTCCTCACCCTCGCTCCCACCACATAACTGGCCATTGTCATTTATCATGCCAAGTGTACATCACGTTTCAAGAACTCTTTATCAAGCCTCTGCTGATAATTCTCTCTCTTTTTTCTCTCTCTCATTTTCTTTCTTTTCTTTTCTTTCTTTCTTTTTTTTTTTTTTTTTTTTTTGGTACCAGGGATTGAAAACAAAGACACTTAACCACTGAATCACATCCCCTGTCCTTTTTTTGTATTTTATTTTGAGACAGGGTCTCACTGAGTTGCTTAGGGCCTTGCTAAATTGCTGAGGCTGGCTTTGAACTCACCGTCCTCCTGCCTCAGCCTCCTGGCTCCTGGGGTTACAGACATGTGCAACTGCTCCCAGCTGCTGATAATTCGTATTCATAATTCTTATAGGACACCCAACAGCATCTAACACAATCTGGCACATTAATGTTTGGTGTTGATGATACTAGTAAAGATATTACCCTCCCTTACACCTACTGCTGCTCTTAATGGCTTTGAATTTTCCTATCTGTATCTCAATTATCTCTTAACAAATTATGCTAGACATTTACTTTTTTATTTCTTCTCCTAGATTTTGAAGAAGTCCTGCATTGAAATTCTAGCAGCCGAACCATCCACCATATGTGCAGGAGGTAAATTGAAATTAAGTGCTAATGGCTTTCATACCATTGATATTTTGAATTCAAATCACATGTTTACTTCTTTGGTGGGGAGCGGTGAAGATAGGGCAGGAAGAGGGTGGGTGAAAAAGGGAATATAAATTTCTAGCTTGCTTTTCTTCAAGGGAAGAAAGAAAAGAAAGAAGCAACATGTCCATATTTTTAAAGTTTGAAAAAGTCCATCCAAATACTGTCCTCATGGTACCAAATTACAAGGGAATTCTAGAAATGCTGAATTCCCACACCAGTACTGAATACTGACCCCAGTCTGCCTCTGGAAAGAAATGGAGTCACCCAACAAGCACAGTGGGACATGCATATAATCTCAGCAGCTCTGGAGGCTGAGGCAGGAGGATATCAATTTCAAAGCCAGCCTCAGCAATTTAGCAAGGCCCTAAGCAACTTAATGAGATCCTGTCTCTAAATAAAATATTTTTTAAGAGGGCTGGAGGTATAGCTCAGTGGGTAAGCCCCCCAACCCCAGGGTTCAATCCCCAGTACCAAAAAAAAAAGAAGAAAAAGAAGGGGAGTCACCCTTCATCCTCATGTCCCTTATGGATACCAGATGATCTCAGTAACTGACCATAGGCCACTTCTGAAATGTTGAGATATGTAAGTGTTTAGTGGGTGCTATCCTTTCTACATTGTTAATATATTTACTTAATTGTTCAATCCACCAGTCCTCATAAAATGGTAGTGTACAACTTCAGTTGTCCTGATAGAAGCCATGATAATTTTGTCATTAATACAGGAAGTCTCTACTTACATTCAGAAGCAGCCTTTTTTTGAATCACAGTGTTTTCAACAAGTGATGAAAACTGGGGTCTTGCTCTTTCTGTGTTTTATAATAGGCTGCCTGAGACATCAGCCATGCCAGCTCTTCTCCTATAATTCCAGACAGATTTCCCAACACTCTTCCTTCATTCATTTAAAAAGCATTGTTAAGCATTTGGTACACACCAGGGACTGTGATAGGTGCTGGAGATACAAGAAGGACCAACTGTCTGCATGAGCCCCTCTTGCCTGGGGACTTTCATCTTGCACTATCAAGAGTTCTCTATTGAGATCAGTTCTCTATTGGGATTGTCTGGCCTCGCAGAATATCAAGTGCTGGTCATTATTTGCCAACAGAAAATATGACAGGCAACCCTGATAAGACAGTGAGCCTTRAAGGAATACCTTTCAGGCTTATCAGACACTATACATTTCAATGCTTATGGCATGTTTTATTGGTATAAATGAGGGAATCGCTTGAGGATTTCCTCCCAGTTCCATGTTAGGACAGCTGAAAGATTCTCAAGGAGTTAGACACTAATTAAGATTACAGTAAGTAATCTGCCAACATGAAAGTATTAAGTATACATATAATTACATAAAGTTAGCAATCTTGGCATCTAATTACCTACATACATAAATRTAAACATACTAAATGCATATAGATATTAACACATATAAAGATGTTAGCAGAATACTTGATGACTATTCAGAAATATGTTAATGTTCCAAAGAAAAGCAATAAAAAATTACCTATTGATGTTTAAATAAATTGCTACCTAGCAATACAGAWGGCAGGGGAAACTATTTTTTTACCCCTCCAAGGAAAAAAATTCAAAGCTTCACAATTTGACAAAAAAATATGAACACATAAACATAGTGTCAGAACCTTTTAAGGGGCTTCTCTGCATAAGGAGCTTCAGTGAGACTTTATTAACTTCATGGTAAATCATCACTTTGGGTTCTGTGTGCTTCTGGTACAGAAAATGTGTGGGTTATTACAGATCAGTCTTGTGTATGGTGTGTGAGAGCATAATACATTTTTATAGTTCCCTGATTTTAAAGCAAGTGGAAAACAAGGAAGCCTTCCATTGTGCGATTATCCCATTCATGAAGAAAACCCAGACTTCCATTTAGCAATCCCACTGGATGTRTTGCAACGATGTGATACGCAGAAAGTCCAAAGTCTATGAACACAATTTCTAATTCACGGGCATCATCGGCTCCCTTCCTGTAGGCATCCTGAACACACAAGAGGAAGCTTATCTCTCCTCACTGCCTGCTGCCTCGCCAAGTGCCTGGCACTTAACACGTGGTCAGTAAAAGTTGGCTGAACGTCTTGCTTCTTGCCTCCCCTAAAAGCACAGAGCCACTGCCTTTTGCTTATTTGATCCTCATTGACTCCTTTCATAAGAAGTTAATGTCCTACCTTGAACTGTCTAATGAAAATAGCACAATTAGAAATTCATAGCCAAAAATAGAACAAGACCAAATATAAGCAAAATCTTAACCATATGGACAAGAGAAAAGCGCTCCTCTATAATCCTAGTCTCAGCAAGTAAACCAAAATCCCTTCACATACCATTAACGGGTTCAAGACTATAAAAGCACTGCATATATAAACTTGAATATGGCGCAGAAATGTGAGGGCCACAATACCTGATCCTAGGAAATTAGTGGATTTTTTAACACATTTCTTTTCTTGTGGGGTTTTTTGTTTTTGTTTTGTTTTGTTTTGTTTGGGGTTTTTGTTTGTTTGTTTGTTACCAGGGATTGAATGATAGAACTCAGGGGCACTTTTTCTATATTTCTATTTGTTTATTTGTTTGTTTGTATTTAATTTTGAGACAGGTTCTTGCTAAGTTGCTTAGGGCCTCACTAGTTGCTGAGGTTGACTTTCAACCTGTGATCCTCCTGCTTCAACCTCCCGAACTGCTGGGATTATAGGAGTGTGTGCCACCAAAACTGGTTTAATACATTTCTTATTCAATGAAAAAGAAAAAGAAGCAAATTAAGAATTAGTAAAAGTTTTTTTTTTAAAGCTAAGTGAAATACAAGAAAAAAGTWAAAAAATGCACTAAAAAATTAAACAAATTAAAGCAATTTAACTGATAAATTATTCCCAGAGCTATTTTCTTGGTAGAACCAAAAAGATAGATAAATCTCTGATAAAGTCAACCTAAAGGATCTTTCTTTAGATATTTTTACCATCACTGGCATGTTTGTAATATCACATATTATAGACAAACTATCCTGTATCAGAGCAAACCATCCAACTGTATTTCCTTTATTTCTAATAAAGAAAAAAAGTAACACAAGACACAGTAATGGAAGCTAGTCCTAAATTTTTTTTTAAGAGAGAGTGAGAGAGGAGAGAGAGAGAGAGAGAGAGTTTTTTTTTTTAATATTTATTTTTTAGTTCTCGGCGGACACAACATCTTTGTTGGTATGTGGTGCTGAGGATCGAACCCGGGCCGCACGCATGCCAGGCGAGCGCGCTACCGCTGAGCCACATCYCCAGCCCTAGTCCTAAATTTTGAGAAAAGGAAATCTCCCACTTCTCTTAAATCAGAATCATAAGGGTAAAAGAAGGACCAGAAACGGGAAGAGCTGAAAATGAAATTGACCAAATTATTCCGTGTCCATATATGAATACACCATAATGAATTTCACCTTGTATGTGTATCCATAAAGCACCCATTAAAAAATAAAATAAATGAGTAGAAGAAAGACCTTTGAGGAAGAGAAGCAGGAGAAGGGAGGAGACCGTGAAAGGGGAAGTACTAGAGATTGTAATGCAGCCAATTATATTCCATATATGCATGAATATTTCAAAAGGAACTATTATGTCTAATGATAATGCAATCATTAAAAAGGCATTTCAAAAACATGCTGATTACAAAATAACGTTTCTAGGAAGAAAAATCAAACCTCTAAAGGATAGCCTTACATCAAAAGTTCTTCCACGGGTTTCCTGAAGGTCAGTCGTTGACTGTTCTCTGTAGTCAGCAAGGCTTTCAGGAAGCACTGGAGCCCATTCCCTTGTCCATGGCCTTGAGATCCTGGAGCCAAAACCTAAGCATGACTCCTCTGTGATTTTCATTAGGCTACTTGGAGGCTCCAGGGCTTACCAGGGATTTCCATGAGAGTGTTTCAAAAAGCATGAACTGTGGTACAAAACAAGGTGACATTATTGTCATCAACATCATTTTAATGAGGATTTAAAGGTTAAATATGGTGCTAATCATGTCATATCTAGATGAGAAAAACATGCGTGTGTGTTTCTCCACTGAAAGAAAATCAGGGAGGACATTGATAGAGTTCAGAGTATCTACTAAATAACTAATTAATTCAATATGTGTTGTGGGAGAGGGTAAACAAGGAAACAACTGTTCCCATTTCTCAAGTACAATGGTCGGATCAAGCCCTAGACAGATCTTGAAAGAAAAGGCAGAATTTACTTTCATTTAAAACATTGTCTCCGAGCCCTCTCCCCTCATTCTCTAAATTACGTGCCTTCATTGGCCCCCAGAGCAACCCTGCTAGGGAGCCCCACCCAAGTCTGTCTCTGCTGACGACTGCATTCCCCCAAGACCATGATCTCACCTGGCTCTTGCCCCAACTCAGCCTCAGCCGTGGTTCTGATAGTAAACTGAGCTCTGAGAGAGGCCTCGAGATAATGCCCTGGGTGGACAACAGAACCCCGATACCACATGGGCCTCTAGGTGCAGGGCTGCAAAGAAAGTGAAATGTAATGAGACAAATAGAAAAGTTTCATACCTGGTCTGAAATAGCCAGTTTCACAAATCAGCAGTTTGGGGCAAATCTGACTTAGTTACAATTTTTTTCAAGGAACAAGAAAACACAAGGACCATCCTAGCTCTCTTGATAGCCAGTAATAACTAACACCTTTGGCCAAAAAGGACTGATGCAATCTTAGGGTGCATCAGTAGTCATCTAGGTCCTAGTGTGGGGTTCAGACCACATGGTCCAAGGACCATCCTTAAAGAATTGCAGTGACAACTGCGTGTCCACATGAGATAGTGATGGAGCTGAAAACCACGTGTAATGATTCATTCACATGTCTTTCCTCTCCCTTCCTTCCCCCTTTTTATCCTYCCTTGCTCTTTTCCTGCTTATTTCTTCCTTTCTTTCTTTCCGGCAATTCTTAGTATCAACTATGGCAATGTGAAAACCTA